TGTTATTCTGTATTCTGTAAAATTGAGTGCTCTCCAGAATATTTGCAGTACAGTTCCCTTAAACCCAGCCTGTATGTAGAATAGAGAGAGATGATAGAAACTAACCCCCCCCCACCTAGAGGTTGGAGAAGGCTTACAAATGTAATAAAAGTAAGAAAAATAATTCTATTAACACTTGCTATTCCACATTGCCTCTCTTAAGTTTCCTTGCAATGTTTGAGAATTGAAGGAAATTGAACTATCAGTCTTTGGCCCAAGTTAATGCTGAGTAGATCTTCCTGTTATCAGCTGTTCCAACTTATCAATCCTGGGACTGCAATTTCTGAAAGAAAATGCTAACTGGGAATTTGGGGAGAAGCCTAGAGATCTCTAGACTGGTGGGGAAGCTGTTCAATTTGCTCTTTTCCAAAACTGATGGACCTTGAGTTTGTTTTAGGTTTTGCTTCTTAAAATATTATACAATAATGTACAATAGTACAGTAGTTATGTATTCCCAAGCAGGACGAAGAATAATATTCTTAAAATGGCCTTGCCGTCTATTTATACTGTCTTAAATCTTACTGAATTGGAATTTTTCAAACACAGAAATTTAGAAAAGTGTGCCTGAAATCAGCACTCCCATTCATTTGACCTCCGTGTCCTTGTGCGGCATTAGGGGGTCTGTGGTCACTTTCGCTTCTCTTGAATCATCTTCAGGTTATCGGCTGGTGACTTGAAAAGTTAGAGCTGGAAACTGAATTGGACAAAACGGAAAGGGGCAGAAAGAGGAAGAATGAGCCATTGTGACTCATTCCTTAGAAATGTGGGCTTCCTTCCTTTTGAGGTTTTAGGAATGTAGAGCCTTAAGTAGGGCAGGGGCTTCCAGGAAGTGGAGGAGAATTTGGGGTCAGATGTTGCCATCTGCACAATTTCCGCTTTCCGTTGCTCTTACCTCCCAGATTTTCCACCCACCCATCTACCCTTGGGAATTTTTGTTTCTGGCTTGAATTCTCCTAGAAGCAATTCTGATATATTCAGATCCACTGAAATCGCTAAGGTTACTTGGCTGCGAGGGGAAGACAGTGTTTGTGTCTTCTGTTGCACCAGGGAAACGGGATAAGAGATGAAATTAGTAAATAATATAGGAAGTTCTCTGTGTTTGGGTAAGCGTTCTTTCGTTGTGGTTGAAGCATTTTATTCTGGTATGAAGGCTTAAAACTTGCTTTCCGATCTTTGTCTTAGTCCCTCTATTTTTTCCCCCCAAGCTTTTTTTCCCTGGGGCTTCATAGAGTTATGGAGATTCCAGTTCAGTTCCTTGTTCAGACTTTAATACAGGTAATCCTCGACTTACAACAGTCCATTTAGTGACCTTTCACAGTTACAGCGGCACTGGAAAAAGTGACTTATGACCGTTTTTCATACTTATAACCAATGCAACATCCCTGTAGTCATGTGATCAAAATTCAGACGCTTGGCAACTGGCTCATATTTATGACGGCTGCAATGTCCCTGGGTCTTGGGATCACTTTTTGCAAACTTCTGACAAGCAAAGTCAGTGGGGAAGGCAGATTCACTTAACAGCCGTGTCACTAACTTAACGACTGCGGTGATTTACTTAACAACTGTGCCAAGAAAGGTCGTTAAATGGAGGAAAATTCACTTAACAAATAGTAACATAAATTTTGGGCTCAATTGTGGTCATAAGTAGAGGACCACCTGTACAACGATCACAGGCCTTTTAAATGTGTTTTGAGGCCTGCTTCACGAGGTCATTACAAAGATATAAGTAAGGTAGATTCTGTGCCTCTGTGAGCTTTTTTGAGGAAAAGCAACTGTAAAATAAATCACGTATGAAGTTTTGGATCTTGATCCTGCAGGCTGATGCAAGTAAACGCTGCCAAAATTGTAACCTTAACTAAGATGTCTGCTAGTGCAGGGCTTTTCAACCAGTGGTTCGGGTACCACCTGTGGTACATTGGCACCTGGGAGGTGGTACGCGACCATCCTAGAAAAGTGGTAGCTGGGGAGGGGAATGAGCTGAACCAGTGGCAGCAGCACACAAGCCTGAGCAAGAGATGGCTGGAGCTGCAGGGCAGTCAGGGCTCAGCGGAAGCACCAGGATCAGCGCTAGGCTCCAGCTTATTGGCGCTTCTTCGCAGCTGTCAGGGCTCAGCAGAAGCACCAGGATCAGCACTAGGCTCCAGCTGATAGGTGCTTCTTCAGGGCTGTCAGGGCTCAGTGGAAGCACCAGGATCAGCGCTAGGCTCCAGCTTATTGGTGCTTCTTCGGGGCTGTCAGGGCTCAGTGGAAGCACCAGGATCAGCGCCATGCTCCAGCTGGAGCTCGGCGCTGATCCTGGCGCTTCTGCTGAGCCCAGAAGAAGCACCGATCAGCTGTAATGTTGCAGCATCTCCAGGGTCTTGTGATTTACATTCAGATGCCTGGCAACTGATTCATATTTATGACGGTCACAGTGTCCCAGGGTCATGTGAAGTGACCAAAACCTGCTGCAACCACCCAGCAGACGGGTGGAATAAAAACCAAACACTCGCCACCCCACCTCCGCTGCCAATCCCCAAGAGAAATACTCACAACAATGAAAACCTTGGACAGGAGGAAGAGCGCCACTGGATGGGCAGGCAGGTGTCTTGTTCGGCTGTGACTTGGGGGCCAATTTTTTCAGTGCCATTGTAACTTCAAACAGTCATTAAGTGAACTGTTGTAAGTCGAGGACTACCTGTACTTTATCACTTTTTTCCTTTTGTTGTCATCAAGTTTTTGACACCTTGCTAGGCGACTGGTGGTACTTGGATTTTGCCATATCCTAAAAGTGGTACAATGGGTGAAAAGGTTGAAAAGCCCTGTGCTAGTGTTTTGACCATAGAAACCTGACTGGAAAACAAGCGATGTTGGTTAAAAGGCAAATGGAGGAAGAAATAGATAGCTGGACTGTATGGTTTTCCCCTCCCCTCTTTCCCCCCCAATGCTTCCAAATCTTACATTGCCTGGGAGATGTGGGACTAGCCAGTTTTCCTTAAGAAAGTAGCAAATGCAGCATGACTGGCTGCGGAATTCTGGGAATTGAAGTCCATCTTAAAGTTGCCGAGGTTGGAGATCCCTACAGTAGAAGGTATTTGACAGTGAGGGCTGCATCCCTTTCTGCCCATGTCTCAGAATACCTTCTTCGCCAGTTGCCACTGCTAAAATGCAAGACCAGACGGACCTTTGTTCTGATCCAGAATAAGAAATATTTTCTGTTGTTCAGCTTAAACTTTTGTCTAGAACAGTGTTTCTCAACCTTGACAATTTTAAGGCATGTGGACTTCAACTCCCAGAATTCCACAGCCAGCAATGCTGGCTGTGGAATTCTGGGAGTTGAAGTCCACATGCCTTAAAATTGTCAAGGTTGAGAAACACTGGTCTAGAAGCTGTCACCTATAAGCCAGAGAGAACAGACTTCAGACTTACAATCTTTTAAAACAGTTAAACAACAGAAATGAAGAATGTAGCACAGTGGTTCTCAACCTTTTTAATGCCGCGACCCCAACCGGTCATAAGTTGAGGACTAAACCGGTCGTAAGTTGAGGACTAAACCGGTCGTAAGTCGAGGACTACCCAACCGGTCGTAAGTCGAGGACTTTCCCTGCCCGGGAGCGCCGCACATGCGTGGTTCCGCCCCCTGCGACGGCTGAGGCGTAGCTGGCAAGCGGCAGAGACGGAGCAGGCCGACCACCAGCTGGCCCAGCCCAAGGGAGGTAAGGCACCCACTGGAAAAGGGGAAAAAATGGCGGACAAAAAAAATGGCGGACAGCCTTGCTTGGCGACCCCCGTGAAATGGTCGATCGACCCCAAATGGGGTCCCGACCCACAGGTTGAGAACCACTGATGTAGCATCTAAAGTGTCATACTGTGCTTTTTATTTTACTTGCTTTTAAAGCTTCTCTGATAAAGAGCTGTGTAGAATTTTTGTCCTTTTCTTTCTCCTTGGTTATCAATATGACAAGTTAATTTTTGAAGCAGGTCTGGTCTTTTCACTTCTCCTCATGCACTTCTCTTGATGTCCTCTTGAGAACTTAAAGCTAGCTTGGGAGGGAACTTTTGGTTTTACCAAGTTCTTAAAGAAAGTCCTAAAGCAGGGGTGTCAAATCAATTTCAACTGAGGGCCGCATCAGCATTGCGGTTGCCCTGGGGGGGTGGGGGGTGGCCAGAGTGGGTGCAGCCTACTGGGTGGGCGTGGATGTGGACTACTGGGTGGGCGTGGCCAGTTCTACATCATTCGCGTCAAAGGTGCCTATGGGGGCCTGGGCAGGAGTGGGACAGATCTGAGGGTCTCTCACAGAAGGGGGTGGGACTGGGGCAAGTGCCAAGATGGCCACCACAAAACTGTACATTGGCTCCCGGCTGGCCTGGGCCAGGGCCAAGGCAGCGGGGGCCGTTCCCTCATTGTTTCCAGGATGGCTTCGCGGGCCACATGAAACCACTTTGCGGGCCGCATCCGCAAAGTAAGGGTCCTAAAGTAAGGGTCTTTAATCCAAAATTTGGATAATGTTCTGGGACCTGATTCCCAGGACCTGATTGGATTCATGCAAACCATGCATAGGAACAGGGATGATGTCCTTCATTCCAGGCCTGGTGTTGTGGTGAAGGTGCTTGCCTAGAAACCAGGACACTCTGAAGTTCTGGTTCCATCTTAGGCACAAAACCCGACTGGGTGACTTTGGGCCACTCTCTCTCTCTCAGTCCAGCCCACTTCACAGAGTTGTTGTGTGGGGGGGGGAAGGGGGGGAGGAATATTATGTATGTTGTCTGCCTTGAGTTACTTATAAAGTAATAAAGGTGGGATAGCAATCTAAATAAATCAGCGTTAAAAGTTTTTCTCTTTCTTTTTCAGCCGTGTCCCGGAATGGCTGCAATGCCCAGATGGATGCTCAGAGAGTGTCTGGCCAGCTAGGGACTTCAAGCAAGTGGCACAGGAGCAGAAGTCGTGGCCTGCCTCTTGTGAAGCAAACTAAGTTCCGTTCAGACTGGATATACAGGATTCACTGTCTTAAGCAGTTGGTTAAATTTGATTTGCTTTAACCCAGAGAGCCCTTTTGGCTACCATTAGCCTGGCTTATTTCAGAGCCATCTACAGGAAGCTTGGGGTACCGTACCAATTGGCTCTCTCCCATCCTCCACTCCGCCATCACCACCATGTCGACGTCTTCATTGCGCCGCCAGATGAAGAATATTGTACATAATTACTCCGAAGCCGAAATCAAGGTCCGGGAGGCTACATCAAATGACCCTTGGGGCCCATCTAGTTCGCTCATGTCTGAGATTGCCGATCTCACCTATAATGTGGTAGCCTTCTCAGAAATCATGAGCATGATCTGGAAGCGTCTCAATGACCACGGGAAAAATTGGCGTCATGTCTATAAGGCAAGCGTGCGCCGTCTTTTTGTTTTTGGAAATATATATTTGTCTGGTAACGGTGCCTGTTCTCTTTTTTTTCATAGCGATTCACTATTAAGTCTGTTTCATTCCATTCCCACACTGCTCCACAGATACCTTATTAAGAAAGTGGAATACATTCATATGTATTATGGTGTGCATTTTATTATAGAAGGCATACTTCTTTGGACACATGCAGCACAGTATTCAGAAGAATGGATAGGTGCATGGCAGTCGGCGTGCTTTATCCCAAAAGTCCAAATATGTGAATTCATGCTCAAATGCAGATTAATCCTCAAGCATGCAAGTGGAGGGGCTGTTGGTCAGTGGTAGAGAGCCAACTTCTCATCCACCCGATCCCAAATTCAGACCATGACATCCTCAGGAAAGATTGGAAAGGTCTGAAACCCTAGAAAGCTTCTAACTAAGTGAGTCCATGTGACCACACCTGATTTTACAACTTTTTTGTGCTGGTCATTAAGTGAACCCATTGTCCAAGTGGCCATTTTTGCTGGAAACCAAACGTAAACACAGGGCACTGCAAGTGGCTAAATTTGGGCTATCTTCTAAGTTATGTCATGAGTTTGTTTCTTCTTGCATCTCTTTCAGGCTATGACACTTATGGAATACCTAATCAAGACAGGCTCAGAGCGGGTTGCACAGCAGTGTAAAGAGAACATCTACGCCATCCAAACACTAAAGGATTTTCAGTACGTTGACCGGGATGGCAAAGATCAAGGGGTCAACGTGCGGGAGAAGGCCAAGCAGCTGGTGGCCCTCCTTAAAGACGATGAGCGTCTCAAAGAAGAGAGGGCCCATGCCCTCAAAACTAAGGAGAAGCTGGCCCAGACCGCAACCGGTAAGCTCTCTAGGCCTTGATCTAGTTCAGGGCTTTTCAACCTTTTCACCCATTGTACCACTTTTAGGATATGGCAACATCCGAGTACCACCAGTCGCCTAGCAAGGTGTCAAAAACTCGATGACCCAAAAAAAAAAAAAAAGGAAAAAAGTGATAAAGTACTGGTAGTCCTTGACTTACAACAGATCGCTTAGTGACTGTTCAAAGTTACAATGGCAGTGAAAAAAGTGCCCCCCAAGCCACAGCCCAGCAAGACACCTGCCTGCCCACCCGGTGGCGCTCTTCCTCCTGTCCGAGGTTTTCATTGTGAGCATTTCTGTTGAGGATTGGCAGCGGGGGTGGGCTGGGGGGTGTTTGGTTTTTACTCCCCCCCCCCCGTCTGCTGGGTGGTTGCAGCAGGTTTTGGTCACTTTACATGACCCTGGGACACTGTGACCGTCATAAATATGAATCAGTTGCCAAGCATCTGAATGTAAATCACAAGACCCTGGAGATGCTGCAACATTCCAGCTGATCGGCGCTTCTTCAGGGCTCAGCAGAAGCACCAGGATCAACACTGAGCTCCAACTGGAGCCTGGCGCTGATCCTGGCGCTTCCGCTGAGCCCTGACAGCCCTGCAGCTCCAGCCCATCTCTCGCTCAGGCTTGTGTGGTGCTGCCACCGGTTCAGCTCATTCTCCTCCCCCGCTACCACTTTTCTAGGATGGTCGCGTACCACCTGCCAGGTGCCAATGTACCACAGGTGGTACCCGTACCACTGGTTGAAAAGCCCTGATCTAGTTGACATTGTTCTCTTTGTTATCCAAATCTACATTTCTCATTCTCCAGGTGATTCCTCTTCGGTATAATGAGATTTTTGGAGTAATCGCTGTGTGTTTTAGTCTATGTATTTCATAGGGTAGGACAGAACCACATTATTCCTTTGGATGATGGGAAGAATAATGAATGAATAGCAAAGCTGTCAATCATACATTGGACATGAGGAAAGAGAGATTTTCCTTTGAGTTCACCACATTTAATTTAATGTGTACTTTGGTCTCTAAGTTGCTGCAATCATCTTTAACTCTTTGGGTAGAAATGGCAATAGAGGTATTCTTTGTTTAGCAACTGCCTCATACAGGTAGTCCTCGACTTACAACTAGAATTGAGCCCAGAATTATGGCCTTAAGTTGTGTTGGTGGTTAAGCAGGTCATCATTTGACCAACCAAATTTTATAACTTTTTTTTTGCAGCAGTTGTTAAGCAGGTCACCATGCTGGTTAAGCAAATCAGTGGTCATTAAGGGAATGCTGTAGTCCAGTGATGGCGAACCTTTTAGAGACGGAGTGCCCAAACTGCAACCCAAAACCCACTTATGTATCATTGGGTGCCGGGTGGACGTGGCCCATTGGGTGGGCGTGGCTGCAGTAGTAATGGCAGACTGGGTGGGACTAAAAAGTTCAATCAATCAATTCCAACTTTGCAAGATCTTTTTTTCCCCACGAGAAGTTGAAATTCATTGATTGATTGAATAATTTTTTTTTTGCACCCGGTGGTGGAGGCCTAAAACAAAATTTTTTTATAAAACCCAGCTGAAGGCCTAGGACTGGGGCGACAGCGCACGTGCCCACAGAGAAGGCTCTGCATGCCAGCTGTGGCACACATGCCATAGGTTCGCCACCACGGCTGTAGTCAGTAAACAAGCCATTGTCTGCAATGAGTGGTTTTTTTGCTTGAGATTGGAAGTAAATACCCATTGTAAATCGTGGTCACATGACTGCAAGATGCTGCAAATATCTGTAAATGCAGGCTGGTTGCCGAGCACCCCAAATGTGATCATGTGACCATGGGGTGTGTGGCCATCAGAACTTCAAATCCAGGTCGTAAGTACCTTTTGGGGGGGGGGTCTGTTGTAACTCCAAATGGTCACTAAGAGAGTGGTGGTAAGTCGATGTCTATACAGTAATCGTTCACAGTTATGGCAACAATGAAAAAGTAGCTTTGCGACTAATCCTCACATTTACGCCATTGCAGGTCTGTAAGCAAAGGAAAGCTGAGGTAAGATTGTAAGCACAGTCAATGTTTCACTTAGCAACCACTTCACTTAATGACCCAGTTGCTGGTCCCAAAAATAGTCGCTAAACGAGGATTACCTGTACAATATCCCGAAAGCCAGAGCATTCTTAATTTCATCAAATGTCATTAATTTCTCATTGTATACGGAAAAACAATGGTGTCTCTGGGTGTATGGTATAAACACTGTCATCTTATATTTAGCCTGGAGAAAAAGCATTAGAACAGAAATTGGTGACCAGATGAATGTTACACTTGTTCTGATACTGGAGCAAGGCACCAATTGTGACCCCATTCCCAAATAGCAACATTTCTCGCTTCTGGTTTCCTCCAGTTCACAATATGATTGTCAAGCACAGGAAATCAAGAGTCAAGGCAATGCAAATGAATACAGATTTATTGCATGCTAATACTCTCTACAAGAATCTGAACTACTAGCAGTCAGAATAAATTGGCAGTAGATAAGAGTTAACGGAATTCAAGGTGGTCTGGACTTGTATCTCTTATGGATGCGAAGGGACTCAAGACTGATGACATGTTTGTCCCTCCCCTCCCTTGGGCTCAGCCTGGCCATCTCTACAGTGATAGAACCGTAACTTCCAGAATTACCATACTGTTTTAAGAGCTAAGTTCCAAATGCATTTGGGAAGTTCCTGATTGTGCAGTATGAAATAAGGTGATGCGTTGGAATTTGTTTGTAGAAGCTGGATTGTTTGGGCTGTTTAGGTTCAATTATGAGGATCTTTGAAAAATCTGAGCCTGCTACTTGTCTCCAGTGCACTTTTTCTTTTCTGGTTAGGGACAGCAAGAAGGACAATATGAAGACATCATTACCAATCTCTATTGCAGATAAATTAAATATAGTGAACTCAAGGGAAAATTTCTCTTCTTCCTGACATCTGATGTATGACTGACAGCTCTGCTATTTAATTATCATTTTTCCCATTGTCCAAAAGGTTGGTATGGCCTTTGGGCGTCTGTCTTGATTATGTTCATTTTTCTGAAATTATGCCTTCAGAGAAAGGTGTGCCCCTGATACAACTCTCACCAATTTGGCAGGTTGCCAGGCTCTAAGATTGAGTTACAGGTCTCCTTGATCTGCTGGTGCCCTTTCTCCATATCGATAACCTCTGGATCAAATTCCACCACATTTGTTTGCACAACATCTGGTAGGGCAGGTTCAGGTTGTTTTTTTTAAAGTGCAGCGTTTGCTTCCTGTTGTAACCATTTCAGCAGAAATACAGGGAATTGGGGAATTGTCAGAGAGAATTCAATAGAAAAAGGAAAAAGGGAATATCCACAGCCTCCTCCCTCCCCCAACTCCAACCCCCAAATGGAGCTGGAGATAGACTGCTAGCCATATCGGCCCAGAGGAACATCCCAAGCAATGCCCTGTAGTTAAAAATCAACTCACAACCTCATGATATGTGTAGTGTTAACACTCCTACACCCTTTGATTGAAGTACAGTAGATAAAGGAAGATAAGAAAGTTGCTTTCAATTTCTAAAACAAATCTACGAACCATAAAACTATGACATCATATAAGAGAGATATGAAATAGCAAGTCCTATTGAGTTCTTCTGAAGTGCTCCCCTCATAAATTAAGTTTCTTGGGTGTGTTTGTGGGAGTAGGAAAAACCATTGTCCAAAGCCTTTTGGACAATGGGAAAAATGATGATTAACTAGCAAAGCTGTCAGTCATATGTCAGGTGTCAGGAAGCAGAGAAATTTTCCCTTGAGTTCACTATATTTAATTTATCTGCAATAGAGATTGGTAATGTGGTCAGCACAATGCATGTTGTTAGAATAACAGAGTTGGAAGGGACCTTGTAGGTCATCTAGTCAAACCCCATCTGTGTATTTTGGGCTCTAGATGCTGCAATCACCTTTATCTCTTTGGCTAGTAGTAGTACTGTTGTGGCCTGAAGACGAGAGCAATTCCTGGAGCAGTCTTGATTTGATGAATTTGTTTCTAATTTTATATGGAAAAACAATGATGCCTCTGTGTGTGGTATAAATATTATCATTTTATGCTTAGCTTAGAGAAGATAAAGGATTAGAATAGAAAGTGATAATCATTCTATATCAGTGTTTGGCACTCCGTTTCCTCCAGAGAGCCAAAGCCTTCTACCAGGAGAAGGTAACAGATATTTTAAAAGTAATTCTTATTTAAAATAACTCCATTTGGATGACCTCAAATTCTCAGTTGAGTGTATAGATGCTAAGCCAGTGGTGGTGAACCTATGGCACACATGCCAGAGGCGGCACTCGGAGCCCTCTCTGTGGGCACACATGCTGTCACCCCAGCCCCACCTCCCCCTTCCTCACCAGCAGCCCCCCGGAGGAGAGTCACCCCCGAGCACGGCCCACATAGAGCAGCGCAGCCAAGCACATGGAGCCGGGCAGCGGGGACAAGACTCCACCCTCGCACTCCATTGCGCACAGATGATGCTGCAGGGTGCGGGCGGAGAGCATGGCCGCCATGGCACTCTGGGCGATCTGTGGCGGGTCGTGGAGGCGGTGAGTGGCCCTGTGGGCAGGTGGGGCGGAGGAGGGCTGGAGCAGAGTGGGCAGGATGGGGCGGAGCAGGGGCAGTTTTTGGGCACTTGGTCTCTAAAAGGTTCGCCATCACTATGCTAAGCCAAGGATTCTCATATTCTGGATCAAGTTATTTTTCTTCTTACTTCCATTTCTTATTAAAGATGGGGTCTTATATATCAGACAGAGGAGACCAAGTCCAGACATGAGGAACCAATTAAACTGATTTATAGCTAAGCCTATGCATAGGGATCTTTTCAACCAATGGCTAGTACCTCTTTGGAGTTTAATAAAAGTCAGTGGAATTCAAAGGGAGTTGGATTAGTCTACTTGTAGCTTCTTAGGGATTCTAGGCTAATCCCTCTTTTAACTCCTCCCCCAGGTTCTTCCACTCTTTCTCCTACACTATGA